AATTGAAATTGGAATTTAGAATGATAGTTAATCAGAAATGATATCCTACCAATGTTGGATATGATAAATCATGTCCACCGTTGACTTGATAATAGTACGTCAGCGGTCAAACTTACAATTTTAATTAATGTTATATAATTCTACTGTGTTAATTGAAAGGTGAAATTAAATTACTTATAAAATTTTACCTATAATTTAATGTAACATTAACGTTACCTAAATTTAGGTTGTAACTCCAATAGGGCTAAACAGCATTACCCTACAATTTTTGACAAGTTAACGTTGAATTGTCAAAAATTGTAGGTTTGATCGCTGTGGTGGCAACCTGGGGTTAAATGAAATGTGAAATTAAATTACTTATATAATTTTAAATATCATTTAATATCACATTAACGTCACCTAAATTTGAGTTATAATCCCAGTAGGGCTACAATTTTTTACAAGTTAACGTTGAATTGTCAAAAATTGGACGATTGATCGCTGATGCCACTTCAGCGGTGGACGGGATAATTTTTACCTACCATGGATAACAGATCATTTCTATGTAGTTGATTGGAAGTTCGTAATTTAAAACATATTATAAAATTTATTAAGTCAGTTCTACAAGTCCACGGAATAATCTGATAAAAACACATTGAACTATAGTTAGCCCTTGTTTGTCAACAATACTTTTCAAAAAAAAAAAAGTTTTGAATAGTAATTTGGACGAAAATCTTGATTAATGACAAAATTTGCTAGTTAATGAAATGGTTTAATTAAGCTCTTGTTTGACAACCATTATTTGAGGATAATAAAGTTTTGAATAGTAATTTTTAGGAGAATGTGTGGTTAAAAAGTAAAAAAAAAATTGAATTTACTTACATATCATTTTATTATGTGAATGTATAGTTGCAAATGACTATGTAGAAAAAAGAGTTTGAAAAGTATGATTGTCAAACTGCTTAAGATAGTGTGGACAAGTATATAGAATAATATGGTAGAAACATATTGAAGCATAGTTATTTAAAAATGGTGCACATCAGTTATGGTCGTGAGCACTTATCATCATACAAATATGCATTTATGTACATTGTGTTAAGAGATGAATTTAACCTCGCCTAATTATCGAAATATAGATCAATATATGAAGGTTTAAATTATTATTTTTTTAATAAAGTTGACATTTTAATATGAAACTACGAGTCTTAATTTAATATCAGAGCCCATGAATCCCAAGCAAACCATTCGATCCCACTAAGACTCATAGAATGAACATACAAATTTCAAGATTGGATTGCTCAAACGAACTATCATCTTGTGGAGGCATATTAAAGAATAAATTTTACATCGACTAATTACTAAAATATAGACCGATATATAAAGTGTTGAGTTACTCCTTTTAATGAGGTTGACTTTTTAAAATGAATCTTCAAATCTTAGTACATTCAATAGTCAATAATAAATGGTGAAAAATTTTGTGACAAATTAGGGGTGGTATGAAATTTACCGATGCGTTCCGCATTTTCTTTAAGTAGCGGTACACAAATTATATAAATAAATATCTATGTATGACAAAAATTTAAGGTCCCTCCATATTAGATGGCGACACGTCGATCAAGTTCTAGTAGATAATTGTTAGAATTTGAGTGTGACCTGAATTCCTTATTGAAGTAATTGAAAAATCTTGATTGAAGTGCACGTCAGGAAGAATTCAGTTTGGATGTTATTGGAGTCCTATATCAAGTTAAAGTTCTATTTTGGAAGTTCATTGGAAGTTGAAAATTCGTTTTAGACTCTATTTTTTAACATTTTACTTTGACTACAAGTCATCTATTAGGGTTTGGGCGTTTGACTACAAGTCATCTATTAGGGTTTGGGCGTCGCCCTACATTGTTGCCTATATATACTTGGTTCTTCTCTAGAATTTTATGATGTGAGAATGGGGTGAGAAAAGTGATTACTAACTTTTAGAATCATTATAATATTTCTCCATTTTCATTATTGTGGTACAATAAAATCTCCTAATTTCTCTACCATATTTTCTTATCTTTTTTTATTCTTTTGTTTACAATCATATACTTCATATTTTGCCATTTAACTTCAA